AAAACTGGTCAAAATTCGTGTTTTTTCAAGCGTTTAAGAACGTTTGTCAGTAAAAAACACAGTTTTTAAAAAATATTGTTAAAAGAAACCATATTATTAAAAAATCTTGTATTTTTCAAAAATTTCAGAACATTTTTACAAAATTTTCTCAAAAATAAATTCAAAAATCACAAGATTGATTGAAAATTGTGTTCTTTTGAGCGTTTTAGCTGTTTTGCAGTCAATAATTTCACAAAATTTCCTGAAAAATAAGTTAGAAAGCACCCAAATTTGCCCTTTCTCAAATATTTAACATTTTTTGAGATAAAAATATCAAATAAAAAGTGAGCAAATTGGTTAAAAAAAAAGAAAAATTGACTGAAACCAACTTACAAGAGTCATGAATAAGACTGAAGAGAGCCCTTCAATGGCCCGATAAATGTCACTTTTGACTGAAATTCCCACTTCTAGAATAGCCAAAAATAGAAGAAAAATGAAAAAAAAGTAGTTGAGATAGTGGTGGTAGCAAAATTTAACGATTTTTAGACTCGAATAGGGGTGCAAACCGGCACATTTCAGCATGAGTTCGGGGTAATACGAGAGGCTTTCAGGCCTGAAAAATTTCATTAATTTTGTTGAAAAACTTCGGTTATTTACGACATTTTTAAGCAAATGTTTGACACAAACTGTGCTTTTTCAGACTTGCAACCCTTAAGTAATTTTCAGGATTAATAATTTAATTACTTATTTAGAATATTGACTCTGAAATTGCCAAGCAGGGCTAATTAATTGCACACACATGACATCTGAATTTGAATAATTTAAGGTAAAAGACGTTTAAACCGTTTTTATTGATTGGCCTTTGTGGGTCATTAACAGAATCAATAGTGGAATATTTTTCATTATTTAAGGCTAAAAAATCCCATTAATTTAAGTTAATTTCACTGCGCCGTTACGCCCCCGGCCAGTGTCTCTGATCTTTTTTGTCGTTTTTCGGCATTTTATGAACTTTTCTGAATCTCTGACACCTCTAGAAGTGCATTTAAGTAATTTTAAAATTTTTAATTTTTGTCAAAATTTTGGTCTATTGTCAATAACTCCAAAGTTATTACTAACAGACCCCTTATGTGTAGTACCATTTGAAAGCAATTTAAATTAAAAAGATCATTCTTCTGTGATAAACAGTTAAGGAGAAAATTGCGACTAAAGACAAAAATAGGCAAAATGTTTTTTAATAGTTTTACAATTTTATTCTGCATAAAAATAAAAAAACAACATCAATAATTTTGTCAGCACGTTATTCAGCCAGAAATTCAAAAAATTTCAGCAGTTTCAGCACATTTTGCAATTAAAAGCCCAATAATTTTACAAAATTTTGTCATAAATAAGCTAAAAATGCACAAAAATTGGTCAAAAC